TTTATTTCACAAAGAAAATATGCCAAATATATTATGAGTAAATTTAGTATGCTTAATTGTAAGCCTGCAGCTACACCTATGAATATTAATGAGAAATTACAACATGATGATGGAGCAGAAATGACAGATGTTAGAAGGTTCAGGAGCTTGGTTGGCGGACTAATTTATTTAACTCACACACGACCCGACATTGCATTTCCTGTTGGTATTATTTCTAAGTTTATGCAACATCCTTCAAAGGTTCATTATGGAGCAGCAAAAAGAGTCTTACGTTACATTGCCGGAACCATGGAGTATGGAATTTGGTATTCTAAATCCTCTAATTTCAAACTATATGGATTCACCGATAGTGATTGGGCAGGATCATTAGATGATAGACGAAGCATTTCAGCCAATGTTTTCACTTTAGGGTCAGGAGTGATCACTTGGAGCTCAAAGAAGTAAGCAACAGTGGCGTTGTCAACGTCAGAAGCAGAATATGTTGCAGCAACTTCAGTAGCGTGTCAAGCCATTTGGCTAAGAAGAATGTTAGCTGATCTTCAACAAGAGCAAAAAGGGGCAACAAAGATATTTTGTGATAATAAAGCAACTATTTCTATGACAAAAAACCCAGCGTTTCACAGTAGAACAAAACATATTGAACTTCGACATCACTATATTCATGATCTTGTTGCAGACGAAGAAATTGTCTTGGAATATTGTAACACCGATGAACAGCTAGCAGACATACTTACCAAGGCTTTGTCAAAAGAAAAGTTTTGCTACTTGAGACGATTACTTGACATTTGCAACTTTGAATCAAGGGGGAGTGTTGAGATATGATTCAAAGTATTCAAAATGAAGATATGATTCATAGTAATTGAGATATGATTCAAATATTCAAACTACTAAGATTTTAGGAGATTTTAGGAGATGTCGGTAGATTTGAATTTTTCTAGATTTCGATGATTTACCATTTCTAATCTAGTGTATAAGCTAAATACTGTAATTGTGTAACCCTCTAAGCATTGAGTCACAATAATAAAACACGTCAGCATTCATCTATTTTATCTATTCTTATCTCTTTCACTATCCCTTTTTCGCAGACAAGGTCATTCCGCGGGCGCAAGCGCCCAAGAGAGACCGAAGGAGGGTTGTGGCCCAAGATCCCTCAGCGGTAGCTCCGTAGGCGCTAGAGCCAAGAGAGGCACCACCAGCATCGGCACCGATGCCTGCAGTGCCACCAGCTGAGCTATCAGGGACCCTTACCTTGGAGATCCTGCAAACCTTCATGAGGTCCACCATGGAGACACAGGCTCAGACCAGCCAACTGTTGCAAGCTCTAGTGGCCAACCAGACACTTGCACGAAGCCCCCGACGTAACGAGGTATGACTACTGAATCCCGCTACTTGAGGGATTTTCAAAAGCATAACCCTTGGTGGGTGGGAAGATAGACCCAGTTGCTGCAGAAGCCTCGTTGGAGGCTACTGAGATAGCCTTTAATTATATGAATTGTTCAATCAAGTATCATGTGCACTGCTCCATATATGTTGAAGAATGAGGCGCATTTCTAGTTGAAGAGCACCCATAAGATACTCAGTCCTGAAGAAGGTCATGTTACCGGGTGTCAGTTCAAAGGGATCTATCTTGTAACGACTCTAGATTTCTACTTACCTAAAGTCACTACCATCATCCTAGCTTAATCATTTATATGCATAAATTAGCCTTTAAACTTTTTCATAAAACATAAATTTTATCTTAAAATATTGCCGTAGCATCTGAAGAACAAAGAGAGAAAAAAGAATTAAAGTCAATGGAGGGGCAAATAGGTAATTTTTTCCCTCCAACCACAGTAGAGGTCCGAGTGGAACGGTCTCAAAAAAAACTCCAAAAGAGAAAAACAAGGAAAGTGAGAGAGTTGAAAGAACCTAGAGAGAAGGAAGAAAGAACATTTGGAAAACTCACGGGACAACAGTAGAAGTTGCCTCAAGCCAAGAGTTGGTTGCAAGAACTCCACCTAAGGAGTGATCGGAGTTTCGTTTTCCGTCAAGAACCGTGAAGACCCGCAAAGTAATCTTTCACAATTTTTCCTCGGATCCAAATCAGTTCTTACAAGTTAAGTCCTGATGTTTTGATATGTTCTTCTAGAAAGTGTTCTACACAGATTTTGTGAGGAACTTAGCCGAAATCGTGGCCAAAAACTGCTGTTCCAAGAGTTCTTTCCATGAGCGGTAAGAGTAAACGTAACTACTTTCGACGTCTACAAATTGGTCAATTAAAGAAAAAAATATGTAGTTGAGATTAGGATTACCACATTGCAGAAGAAAACGAACTGATTTGAAGTTTGGATTAGAAGATATAAAAATAAGAAAAATGACGGAAACGGATCCAAAATCGTGTTTTCTTCAATTAGAAGAAGAGAGAAAAATGAGATTAGGGAGATATAAAGGAAAAGAAAAACAAAAGAAAGGAGAATAAAAAGAGAATAGAGAGAGGAAGGTTCTAGAGAGAGAAACAAATAACGGCCACAACTCCAATTCCACGAGGAGAAAGAAATCTTGAAAATTGGGCGGTGACACATAAAACAAAGTCTATAGGACCTAAAACCCGATTACTCGGATACCAATCTGTCACGACTCAATTTTTGAAATTTCGAAAAATTGGACTGTAACGATGACATGAACCAAGAAACATCAATCATACAATATACTTCAATAAAGATGTGAAAAAAATATTGTTGAAATTATCGAAAGATATTTCAATTCACGCCACATTGAAGAAGAATGAAGTTTCAATTCACGCCACATTGAAGAAGAATGAAGTTTCCAGTTATAAATTTGTGGTGGATTACAATTTAGAATAATTTAGAGTTATTTTATTGATGTATTTGAAGACTTTTATTTATTATCGGTTACAATTACATAAGGGTTAATTATGGTCATTAAATATGTAACAACTCTGAATGCCTTTAATAGTTTCATTTTGAGGCTATATAAAGTCTTGTATTTGTATTTGTAAGTAGGCTTTTAAAATATAGTAAAAGAAGCCTTTGTGCTTTCCTTTAGCCAATGGCTAAGTTTTCTGTGTAGTTTAGGTTGCAGGTAGAATCATTCAAGCTCGACATGATCAATTTTGCTTGTGAAGTGATTCGAATCTCACTCCAGTGTTCTTGCCTTGTGATATTTGATCAATAAGAATCATTCAAGCTAGACATAATCAATCTTGCTTGTGGAGTGATTCGAATCTCAAACAATGTTCTTGCCTTGAGATATTCGATCAACAAGGTAATCCGAATCTTACTCCCTTGTAGTGATTTTTCCATATCAAACGAGAAGACGAAATCAAATACAAACAAGACAATCAAAATGAAGAAAAACATTGAGAATGTGGAAAGTGCAGTGAAATTTCGCATCATTTCAAAAGACATACAACACCACTATCAAAGTTATTTACCGAAAAAAAGAAAGAAAGAAAAAAGGGATGAGTATAAAAATATACTCAGTACGTAACCTACTTGTAGGCTCTCATCGCCTCCTTCTCCTAGTAGGTTTTCACGACTTTCCATTGGTCTAAACGATGTTCCAAATGGTTCTTCATTGTTCATCTACCTATGTAGTCCCTAGCCCCTCATCAAGACTAGTTTACAGCGTCACAGCGTCGACCTTGACAGTTTTTACACTCAATAGAAGTTGTTCATGCTATACCATCTACCCGCGTAGTCCCTGATCTCTTTCCATACCGGTTTACAAAGTCGCAACGTCAATCTTGACTCGTTTCTATGTTCAATAGGGGCTCTCATCTTGACACCTACCCCTGTAGTCTCTAGACCAACAAGGACTGGTTTACATGTTAGCCTATTTCTACACTCAATAGGGTCCATGTCTTGAGCTACATACCCATATAGTCCCTAGTTCTTCTCAAGTACTTGTTTAATGGGATTAGAGGGTCGGACCTATCCAGATTCTACCTTCTATAGTAGCTCAACTAGTTTTGTGATTCTGTAGGCTACTTAAATCGTGTTAACACACCGTGGAGGTCTACTAGTTTCATAGGGGCATTCATGTAGTTTAATTTCCATTTTCTCAATTCTAGGTCGTTCTAGGTTAGCTTCTCAGCTTAGACTATCCTTGGGTGCACATAGGTCTAACCCTCAGTTCTACATGTAAACCGCACTATGTATAGCGTCCTACAATTATCACTTGCCTCTTCAACACGAAAAAGTTTATATGTTTTTGGTTTCTTATTAGTAGAAAAAAAAATATAGTAACGCAACATCATCTCAAGCATAAACATGATCCAAGTTAGATGTTAACAAGCATCTTAGAATTAACACATAAGATTGAGTTTAAAGGATTATTGAGTGTTTTAAAAGACATAGCATAGAGATTGACATATCAACACAAAAAGTGTTAAATTAGACATTGATATATATATACGAATATAACTTGGGATAATTGCTTAACTAAAATTGGTAAATAGAAATAAAAATCACAAATATGAAGCAAATGGGTAGATACATGCAGATTTGAGTGACTAAATTATGCTTTGATTTGAAGGAAAATGGTTGAGAAAAGAAATTTGGTATTGTTGATAAAACTTGGAACATGAGCTGCATTCAAAGCTAGGATTGAATAAACACAGTGATTTTGTAATATGAAGTAAATGAGAGCTACGGAGAAGGTGAGGTGCAAAATCATGTGTATAGCATCGGTAGCCCTAAACGTAGATTTTGAGCCAAACCCATTTTCTGCCTTTTGCGTGTATTGAGTGAGGTAGTTATATTTAGGCCCCATGCTCTCCTTATATATACCTATTTAGTCTCCCACCCTTTCCACTCCAAGCATTCACATGCACTTGCAAATGGCTTCCCATAAACTTTCTTCTCTTGTGTTCTTTCTTTTATTTGTTATAGGAATTTGTTCTGCAGCCAGAAGTTTGACAAGTTCTTATGAAGGATATGGTGTTGAAAATTATGGCGATCGATATGGTAAGGATGGTGCATATGGAGGAAAGTACGGAGGATATGATGGTGGAAACTATGGGGGATACGGCGGAGGTAAACACGATGGATATTATGGAGGAAACTATGGAGGATACGGTGGAAGTAAACACGAGGGATACGATGGAAGAAACTATGGGGGATACGGCGGAGGAAACTATGGGGGATACGGCGGATATAAGCACGAAGAATACGATGGAGGTAAACACGAGGAATATGACAAATATAAACATGACGGATACGATGGAAGAAGCTATGGGGGATATGACGGAGGTAAGCATGAGGAGTACGGCGAACACGGCTATGGCCACAGTGGGTATGCACCATGAGAAACACATTTTCAGTACTACCATATGAACATATAGTAAATAATATCATGAAGGAATAAAAAGGAGCATCCATGTTCAAAATAAAATAAATAATAAAGATGGGGAATGGTTACAATATTGTGATGTTCAAATGTGAGCTCTTCTTGTAGTTTCTCTTGGAATAAATAAATAAGAGCTTTTTTTTAATCTTACTTCGAATGTGTGATCTAGCCGTTACCTATAAGGTTGTAGTAGAATTTCAAATCGATTCACGAATGACCTTAGGCGCTACTTCTAACATATACACACGGTCCACGTACATGCGCATGAACCCACTAGGTTGTTGATGTGCTTTTCTTTTTTCACCGAGTTCACTTTGGTTGAGTCACTTCTTGCTCACTAATAATAGTGTCATTTGGATCTTCAAACACAACAACACTTGATCAAATGTGTGTAGTTTGCTCTCTCATCTTCTGTTGTAGAATGTTTTCAATGTTGTTCGAGTATAGTAAGACTTTCTTTTGCAAGGACTACCACGAACATGCTTCATCAAAAACTAATCTCTTACCGTGTTGCTTTTTTGTCAAATTTGCTACATAGATGACAAACGTGACAAACGTAGCCAAATACTTGGAAATAGCTCATTATAGGTTTCATGTCCCATAATATATCAAATGGTGGGATGAAACCTAATCTTGACTGGGGTGGGGAAGCTTATTGATCATATGGCTAGCAGTTTGCATAGTTTCAGTCCAAAATTTTCTTGGAACATTCTTCACGTGTAGTATGCTTCAACAAATCTCTGCAAAATACTACAGTATTTTCTTGGAACTTATTTAGAGTGAATTAGTTCTAATGGTTTCTTTGCTCTGAAATTTGACTCGGTGTAGTAATTGATGAGCTTTACCATTCTAACATCTAGTGCAAATAATATATGTTTTGACTTCAAGTTGAGGTAAGCATTTAAGCACGGATTTTTCCGTACTCACCTTCAACTTGTGATAGCCAACACGTCCCAACTTTACATGTCATATATCTACTATCTTTCAAGACTTGTCTACATAAGGAGACTCTATAAATAGCATGTAGATGGACTCCACACTTCACCCTCCCATCGTTGGCTTTCCCAATATCTTAACATATTCATAGACTTTTATATTGTTCGACCCAAAAAAGACATAATTGCATGATGTTGTTAGTTGTGACACTAACAACAAGTTCTTTATACCTGGTACATGATGGACATTTTGTCGTTATGTTGTCGATCTGAGCAATCAGTAACTATTTTTTGTTGGTTGAGCATCCTAAATCCATGATATTGATTAGTTTTTGTCTCGCAATTTTCTCTGATCACCAGTCATTTGATTTGAGAATTCTAAGTCAATGTTCTAGTCTTTCTCATAATCGATATGATCTCCCACCATCGCCATAATGATTGAGCAGGTCATCCTTGTACAACAAAAAACGAAGTTTCTACATTATGGCCCAATCCATGAATGATTATCATCTTCATTCAAGCTTCTCATATGACAGATTTTGGATCTACTTCAGTAATCTTCCGACAAATCAACTTGACCCTATGGAAGTACTAAACAATCGTCATGTTGCATTGTAAAATTGATAACAGCTCGTTCTCCAAAAGTTATAACCTCGTATCGTTTTTCTTTGAGAAAAGTACCACAAACGTGTCTCATGCTCTTTTGATGTCTTGTCATCTCGAATGTGCTCCAACATCTCTTCATTGATTGTGGTCTTCAAGATTGGTTTATAGTGTCACGGCGTCGGCCTTGACTATTTCTACACTCAATAAAAGTTGTTCATGCTAAACCACTTACCCGCATAGTCTCTAATCTCTTTCAAGAGCGGTTTACGAAGTTGCATCATTGACCTTGACTCGTTTCTACTCTCAATAGGGGCTCTCATCTTGACACCTACCCGTGTAGTCTCTAGCCCAACAAGGACTGGTTTATAGGTTCACCTGTTTCTATACTCAATAAGGGTTCATGTCTTGAGCTAACTACCCATGTAGTCCCTAGTCCTTCTCAAGAACTGATTTAATAGGATTAGAGCGACGACCCTGTTCCGATTCTATACTCAATAGTAGATCAACTAGTTTCGTGATCCTATAGGTTACTTAAATCATGTTAATACACCGTGGAGGTCTACTAGGTTCTTATGGGCATGTAGTTTAATTTCCATTTTCTCAATTTTAGGTCGTTCTATGTTAGCTTCTCAACTTAGCTTAGCTTTTCCGCTTAGCCAATCCCTGGATGCACATAGGTATAAACCTCAATTCTACATGTAAACTGCACTATGTATAACGCCCTACTCTTGATTGTGATCTTGATTCATGCTCTACTAGAAAAATGTGTCTATCAACAATTTCTAACATGTGAATCATGTCTATTCGTTCACATATGTTATTTAAGAAGGTATTCCTACCAAGCCTTAATGCATGAAAACCACAACATAAATCATACAACAATCAAACAAGCTGAACAGGGAGATAACATCCATCAATCGTCCAGAGCACAAATCAAAATATCTCTTCCTCTATCATACCACAGCAGAAGACATTAAATTAAGCATGTTTCTCAATTCCCTTGTTTCAAAGACAATTTCGTAATTTTATCATGTACATGTAGTAATTATCCAAATTGTTCATTCTATGTTCTAATCGTGCATATTCCAGTCACCTAGGGCACAATATTCTCGCATGCTAGATTGTCATAGCCATCCCTACCCGTATCACTTGCCTCTTCAAAAAAAAAAAAAATAATAAATAAATAATTGTTTATGTATTTTTGGTTTCTTATTAGTAGAAAAAATATATCAACCCAACATCATCTCAAGCATAAGCATGATCCAAGTTAGATGTTACCATGCAACTTAGAATTAAAACACAAGGTTGAGTTTAAAGGACTATTGAGTGTTTTAAAAGACATAGCATAGACATTGACATATCAACACAAAAAGTGTTAAATTAGACATTGATATACACATACCAATATAACTTGGGATGATTGATTAACTAAAATTGGTAAAAAGAAATAAAAATAAGAAATATGAAGCAAATGGGCAGATGCATGCAGATTTGAATGACTAAATTATGCTTTCATTTGAAGAAATGGTTGAGAAGAGAAATTTGGTATTGTTCATATAACTTATAATAAGAGCTGCATTGAAAGCTGGGAGTGAATAAACACAGTGATTTTGTAATATGAAGTAAATGAGAGCCACGGAGAAGGTGAGCTGCAAAATCATGTGTATAAGATCGGTAGCCCTACACGTAGATTTTGGGCCAAACCCTTTTTCTGCCTTTTGCGTGTACAGAGTGAGTAGCGATTTTTAAGCCCCATGCTCTCCTTATATATACCTATTTAGTCTCCCACCCTTTCCACTCCAAGCATTCACATGCACTTGCAAATGGCTTCCCATAAACTTTCTTCTCTTGTGTTCTTTCTTTTCTTTGTTATAGGAATTTGTTCTGCAGCGAGAATTTTGACAAGTTTTGATGAAGGATATGGTGTTGAAAATTATGGGAATCGATATAGTAAAGATGGTGCATATGGAGGAAAATACGGAGAATACAATGGAGGTAAGCGCGAGGAATATGGCAAAGATAAATACGACGGATACAATGGAAGAAACTATGAGGGATACGGCGGAGGTAAGCACGAGGAATATGGCAAAGATAAATGCGACGGTTACAATGGAAGAAACTACGAGGGATACGATGGAGGGAAGCGCGAGGAATATGACAAAGATAAACGCGACGGATACGACGGAGGTAAGCGCGAGGAATATGACAAAGATAAACGCGACGGATACGATGGAAGAAACTATGAGGGATACGGTGGAGGTAAGCGCGAGGAATATGGCAAAGATAAATGCCACGGATACGATGGAAGAAACTACGAAGGATACAGCGGAGGTAAGCGCGAGGAATATGGCAAAGATAAACGCGACGGATACGATGGAAGAAACTACGAGGGATACAGCGGAGGTAAGCGCGAGGAATATGGCAAAGATAAACGCGACGGATACGATGGAAGAAACTACGAGGGATACGGCGGAGGTAAGCGCGAGGAATATGGCAAAGATAAACGCGATGGATACGATGGAAGAAACTACGAGGGATATGGCGGAGGTAAGCGCGAGGAATATGGCAAAGATAAACGCGACGGATACGATGGAAGAAACTACGAGGGATACGGCGGAGGTAAGCGCGAGGAATATGGAAAAGATAAACGCGATGGATACGATGGAAGAAACTATGAGGGATACGGCGGAGGTAAGTACGAGGAATATGGAAAAGATAAACGCGACGGATACGATGGAAGAAATTATGAGGGATACGACGGAGGTAAGCGCGAGGATTACGGCAAGTATAAACGCGACGGATATGATGGAAGAAACTATGAAGGATACGGCGGAGGTAAGCGCGAGGAATACGGTGAACACAGCGATGCACCATGAGAAACAAATTTTCAGCACAGCCCTATGAACATATAGTAGATAATATCATGAAGGAATAAAAAGGAGCATCCATGTTCAAAATAAAATAAATAACAGAGATGGGGAATGGTTACAATTTTGGGATGTTCAAATGTGAGCTCTTCTTCTTGTACTTTCTCTTGAAATAAATAAATAAGAGGTTTTTGTTAATCTTATTTTAACAAACAATTGTATTTTTCATGCTAATTTTTTTATATTGTGAACAAATGATGCGACGATGTTACTTCTAACCTGTAATCTAGCCGTTACCTATAAGCATGTAGTAGAATTTTAAACCGATTCAAGAATGACTTTAGGCACTACTTCTAACATATATACACACGGTCCACGTACATGCACATGAACCCACTAGATTGTTGATGTGCTCTTTTTTGCTTTCACCGAGTTCAGCTTGGTTGAGTCACTTCTTGCTTACTAATAATAGTGTCATTTGGATCTTCAAACACAACAACACTTGATGACATGTGTGAAGTTTGCTCCCTCATCTTCTGTTGTAGAATGTCTTCAATGTTGTTCGAGTCTAGTAAGACTTTCTTTTGCATGGACCAACCCGAAGATGCTTCATCAAAAACTAATCTCATGAAGTGTAGCATCTTCTACTTGTTGGATCACAACACTTTCATCTTTTTTTTTGATTCTCAATCCAGCAAATATACGCGTGTTGTCCCATAAGATGTGAAATGGTGAGATGAAACTTAATCTTGGCTGGGTGGGGAAGCTTGTTGATCGTATAGCTTGCAGTTTGAATAGCTTATGCCCAAAATTTTCTTGGAACATTCTTCACATGTTACTCCTTCAACAAATCTTTGCAAAATGTCTGTTTTTTTTTTCCTACTACACTATTTTGTTGTGCCGTGTTTGGCATATGTAAACTAATGACATATTCCACACTTGTGTAAATATTGATAAAACTTAACAAATGTGTATTTTATACTATTGTCTAAGCGTAGGCAACGAAAATTCATTCCTAATTCTTCTTCAATCGTCATTTTGAATTATTGAAATTTATGAATGTGTCAGAATTTCTTTCATGAAGAAAATTCACACATATCTCGAGTAGTCGTCAATGAACGTTAATATGTATCGCATTCCACTGATTGATGTTTGCTTGGCTAAACTGAACAAATTAGAGTGAATTAGTTCTAATGATTTCTTTGCTCTGAAAATTTGACCTTGTATGGTAATTGATGAGTTTTACCACACTGACATCCCGTGCAAATGATATATGTTTTGACTTTAACTTGGGGTAAGCATTTGTGTAGCCTAACATGTTCCAACTTTGATGTTATAGATCTACTACCTAATTCTTTAAGTTGGGGTAAGCATTTGTGGTAGCCAACATGTTCCAACTTTGATGTCATAGATCTACTGCCTAATTCTTTGAGTCTTGCCTACATAAGGAGACTATAGGAACCCTAAATCTAAACCAGACATAGTTGCATAATGTTGTTAGTTGTGACATTAACAACAAGTTCTTCTCTATACTTAGTACATGACAGATATTATGTAGTGACACCATGTCAGAATTATTAGCAGGCACGATCGTTATGTTGTTGATCTAAGCAATCAGTAACTGTGTTTTGTTGGTTAACCATCCTAAATTAACGAAATTGACTAGTTCTTGTCTCGCAGTTTTCTCTAATCACTAGTCACGTGGTTTGAGCATCCTAGGTCAACGTTCTAGTCATTCTCATAATCGATATATTCTCCCACCATCATCATAAGTGCTAGCTCATTTTCTTCTAAGGCACATAATACTTTGGCATCCCATTTATCTTCCATCTACTTTTTGGAGGTTGTCGCATTACTTTCGACGAAATTTTTCTTGGATCCACAATTATTGGTCATGTGGCCCTTCTTTCTACGTTGTAACAAATGCCTTTAAGCAAATTGTGGGAAGTTTGATGTACTTATCTTCAACAAGACCAGACATCATGTATGCAGTTCGTATGTTAAGTCGCTACATAGAGCATCCAACGGAAAAACATCTCAATGCAACAAGAAGGATACTACGTTATGTGCGAGGAACTTTTGATTTGGAGGTATTCTACAAGAAAGGATATGATTCAAAGATTGTTGGCTATACAGATAGCGACTATGTAGGTGATATAGATGATCGTAAAAGTACTTCAGGAAGTATTTTCATAATGAGTTTAGAAGTTATTTGTTGGTCTTCAAAGAAGTAACTTATTGTAACACTCTCAACTACAGAAGTAGAGTTTGTGGCAGTAGCAGCATGCTCGTGCCAAGCAATTTAGTTAAGAAAGATGCTTGAAATTCTTAATCATAAGCAACCAGGTACGACGATTATATATTGTGATAATATGTCAACTATTAAGTTGTCTAAAAATCCTGTGTTGCACAGGAGGAGTAAGCACATCAATGTTTGGTTTCATTTCCTGCGTGATTTGTGTAAAGAAGGCACTATTGAACTCAATTTTTGCCGAAGTGATGAACAAATCGCAGACCTATTCACAAAGCCCTTGAAACAACCATTGTTCGAGAAACTTAGAAGAAAGATGGGAATGTGCAGAATCCAATATATAGTTCAAGAAGATGGAGTGAAGTCCTAAACTGATTTCTGCATAATTCAGTTTAAGGGAGGGTGTTGAAGGGTCACTTGTAGATACATGTATGAATAAATACATGTGTTGAAGGGTCACTTGTAGATACATGTATGAATAGATACATGTGTTGAAGGGTCACTTGTAGATACATGTATTGTTGGGTTTTATGTCCTAAAACTCATAGTTTGTAAACAAAAACATATTCTATTTTCCATAAAGTAATTATTGTTGTTTATTCAGTAAAGATTGTTATTGAATAAAGTGAACTTTACGATCATTAATCTAAATTCAATAAACTAAGAACACTCTAGCTTAGTATGATTACTTGAACTATATGTAGAGACATAAAAGTGGATCAAGTTCAAGTATATAGTCAAAATGATTTATAGTATAAGGATAAGGCTGAGTTCCTTATTCTGGAGACACTATGGATGCGGCCCACTTTTGTATATGATATAAACAATGTGATCACTAAATTGTACGTGTGAAGACATATGAGTGGGGGCGTCCTATGCAATGAGTATTACATAAGATCGGACCATGAAGAAAACCACTCTCACTTTATAATGTCGTTTACTGTTGAGATTGATTTTCTTTTCATTCGATAACCTTGGTAACTCGGTTTTAATCCTGAGCTAACCATAAACTCCTGTTTATTCGGAATTATCCTTAGATTTGCATGGGTGAGAGTGGCTCTAGTTCGCCGACTCAATAGGCCTCCCATTTTAGGGGTAAGACTGGGTGAATGGCTGGGACATGGGGTGCAAGATGGAATTCGCTCCTACCCACTTTTAGGGATAGAAGAGAGGTAGTTCCCTTAAGCACTGACTCCAGGTCTTGAACAAGGGGCCCCACCCTCTCATTGGCCTGAGAGGGATTCGGTTTACTGGTTGGACCACAAACCAATTATTCATTAGAGGATCAGTGAGACATAAGGAACAAGAAGTAGCTTCAGGGGTAAAACGGTAAATTGACCCAGCTCTAGTTACGAACAACCTGTGAATGATCGACTTACTAATCATGGTTATATCAAATGAACAGAAATATATCTATAGTGAGGGGAGTGCAACTACTAGGCTATAGTGGAGTGTCCTAGTAGTTAACGAATGTTGGTTAACCAGGTTAATGAGTTTAACCCGTTAATCTAGGATCCTTGGAGCCCATGATCTATAGGTCCATTAAGTCCCTCTACTAGCTCATATCGGACTAAACCATAAAACAGTGTGACGAGTGAGTTCGAAGTGTTCGAATTCAAATTAGGGAATATGCGCTACATATATACGATATATTTAACAGCATTTTTGTTTTATTTACGAATTAAACAAAAAGAGAGAATCTGAGGTATTTAAATAAGATTTAAATATCTTAATCAATTATGTGTCGGAATTGATTGGGATTGGCATTTGAATTAATATTAAATATTAATTAAATAGTTTAATTAATCATTTAATGTTACTTTAATTTGAAATTCATTATTCAAATTAATTGTTGAATTAAAATGAAGAAAGTCAAAATGTTGACCTCATGGAAAAATCCATGTTACTGGAATTTTGAGGTGTCAAAATTTGGTTTAACCAAACTTGCATGCTTGCCAAATACACCCCACAAGTTTAAGTGGAATTTTGAGGGTCAAAATTTGGTTAACTCAAACATGCATGCTTGCCACATAATCCCAATAATCCCAAACATTTGAGTGGAATTTTAAGTGTCAAAATTTGGTGATCTCAAATTTACATGAACATGCAAACATGACTCTTTAAATAGAGTGATCATGGTACATGGAAGGTCTTCTTCTTCTTGGTGAAAAACCTTGAGAAAAACCTCTCACAAACACTCTCTTCACATATACAAAATCCCTCCCAAGTTTAGTCACTCACCGAATTCCACAATCCCGTTCTAAGGTCGGAGGATAGTGGAGAAGACACTAGTGGTAATTCGAAACCGGTTCGTGAGGAACAAAGAGTTTGAACTACAAAAGGTTAGTATTTAAACTCATAAAGTTTTAATACTTATGAACATGCTAGTTATTTACTATAATTGATGTTCTAAAAGTGCCTAGATCCAAATTACTTCCGCATGTGTTATATTAACACAAACATGTATAAGGACATGTATGATTACAGGTAGGTCCTTTAGTTCATAATTAATTAGGGGCATGACTTTTGGATAATGAATGGTACTGGGGAATATCCAAAATTAACTATATGTAGGAGTGTACATGGTCTGAGTTGGGTTGAAGGATTTTTTTGACCCAACCCAAAAGTTCGGGTTGGTTGGATTGGTAATCCAACCCAACCCTCTATTTTTGGGTTGGGTTCGGGTTGGTTCAAAAAAAAACTTTAAAAAATTTAATTTGTATGACCTAAAATGATAAAGCAATTACTATTAAGTGGTAGATCAAAAATATCTAACTCTCTATTGTATTCATATTATCACCTATAAATATGTAAAAAATATGCAATGAATCAATTTCAAAGATACTCCATCTAATTAAATTATCTACATTCACATTCATAGTATATAATCATTCAACAAAATGCCTAAAAATTCACCTATAAATATGTAAAGAATATTTAATGAATTAATTCCAAAGTTACAACATCTAACAAAATGCCTAAAAATTTAAAACTATCCCACCTCTATTGCATTCTTAATTCCTACAATTCCAAAGATACAACATCCAATAAAATGCCTAAAAATTGCATTCTTAATTCCTACAAAAGAAAAATAGCATCTTAAAAGTTAGTATCGTTTTAAGATTGTTTGGATAAAGCATATTGTAGCTTCAAATATTTTACTTACATTAAAAAATAATTATTCTTGCATGCCACTAGTGGAGCTTGAAGGTCTTAAATCATCTGAAAAATAAAATATAAATTGTGATATAACATTATAGAATACATCTTAACAAACAGATAATAAATTGATTTGGAGTTACATGTCTCAATCTTAGAACAAATCTCCAAATCTTCAAGTTGTTGAGGAATATCTAACGATACTGATCTTCTACCGATCCAATTTTGTGTACATATCAGAGCTTCTACTGTTTTAGGTGTCAAACAACTCCTAAAAGAATCAAGAATCCTCCACCCCGTACTAAATGCTGATTCAGAAGATACAGTCGACACTGGAATGGCCAAAACATCTTAGGCAATTTGTGAATGTTTGATTAATCCACCACACCTAAATGGTGTGAAAGTTATCTTATTTATAATCAAATAAATTACAAGGATATGGAAATAGTAATAAATGGAAATAACAATAAATGGAAAGATATCTATAGTAATAAGGCAAATATTAGATATTTGCCTTATAATAAAATATCAAATATAATATATACGGGAAAGTATAATTTATTACTAAATATCCTTAACACAATTTTCGATAAAACTCTATATTTAAACTCATTTGCTTTCCACCATACCAAAACATCAAAATTATCGTCAAGTTCTTCACTAGGGTCAGATAAATATCGATCCACATCATTCTTTAACTCGAGTGAATTTTGCTCTTCTCTTCTTCGTTTGTATCTTGATAATACTAATATTGAACCACTCAAATTCTCTTCATCAATTGTGTCCATCTCCATACTCATGGACTTAGAAGTGAGTCTTGATTCAGATTGATGATGATCTTGAGCATTATCATAAAACTTGTAGTAATCATATAAACGAGTTGAATAATTCTGTATGTCATCCACCATCACTTTAGCCATAGCATCTTCATAAATATTCGAAAAGCAAAATGATATGTAATCCAATTTATAACGAGGATCGAATATCACTGCTATCAATATCAACTTATTAGTTCTTTCCACTTAGCCCCAATATTTGTTATACTTAACTTTCATATTTGAACTCAGGTTACTTAAAACAAAGTTCACATTTATACTCCACTGAATTAAAAGTTCTCGAATACACCAAAGTTCATGAAAATAAGAATTAGAAGTCACATATAAAAAATCACTTATCTTCGTAGTGACATCATAGAAAACCTTCAAAAACTTTACCATCACTGCAACGATTTTCCAATCATCAATGGTTGGTGGCCCTATTCTTTTGTTTCTATGATCCCCCTCTTAGAATGATTGACTAAAAAATCTTTCAACTTTTTTTTTCTTCTAGATAGAGCTGAAATATATCTCTAGCAATGGTTACTCTTGACGGAGGGTCAAACTTAGAACATGCAATACTACAAAACAATTTGAAACCCTTATTCTCTACCAATTTAAATGATAATTCATCCATAATTATCATCTTGGCACATGCTGCTCTACATCTTGTTTGACTAAACAATGAAGTAACAATATTACTACCACCCTTTCCATCTATTGAATGTTGAAAACTTAGAGTGGTTTGTCCTTTGTCCTCCACCTTATATGTGTACTTTCTACACTGATTTTTTAAGTGCTTCCATAATGTGCTAGTTTCACAAGAATTAGTATCACAAGCATACTCCTTAGAATAATAGTTGCACTTCCACCTCTTATTATTGTTCTCTAATATTGTAAAGTGATCCTATAAGGTTGATTTACTGGGTTTCTTCTTCTTAAATTCAGATTGTGCCGCCAATGGTGGTTTCGATGTATTATAATTACTAGAGCTACTTGCACATATAGTTGTACTGTTGTTTTTCATCTATAAAAAGTAAAATACAACTTTGGTCTTTTGATACAGAGTCTCAATGTATTTCTCAATTTCAACCATCTTCTCCATCTCGTATTCAATCCATTCTGTATGAATAGGTACTTGAGACTCTTGAGGTCGGTGTACACTTGCATTTTTTTTTCCTCCTCACAGGTAATGTCGCCACGTCATCGAGGCAAACACTACGCTACTAATTCATTGTCATAAGTAGGGTAAATCGTTCGTGCTCCTTCAACTACTTTGAAACATAAGCTACTTACCCTTCTAAATGAGCACACACTCTAAACCCTTACTTGGGGTGTCTCTGTACGCTACAAGATTGTCTATTCCATCTTGTACTAGGAGGACTAATGCAGTCACCAATCTTTTCTTAAGTTCATATAAACTCTGTTCGCATGCTGGTCTCCCAACAAAGACTTGCCCTTCTTGGTCCTTGGTGTAAGCGATGCAGAGGTCCTGGAAAACCTATGTGCTAACCTTATGTAATAACCCCATTGAGGAACGGAATCGAAAATAGAGCCATTTCCTTGGACTATGGCCGATGGATTACGCATGTCTTTGCAGCTAAGTAAAATTCATAGAGATCAACGAAATGGGTGTTCTGTAAAACAAAAATTGGAAGGATCGCACGCACAAAGCAGGTGAAAGATTTGCAAGAGAGTATCATTCTGAATTAGAATGAAGAAATTAAAAGGATGTTGAAGTTCATTAAGAGGGACCTTCTGCCTCTACTTCGCAGCCACAAGTAGAAGGTGGAGCGAAATGTGGCGCTTGTGGATGCGTCTTTTGATTGCACCAAGTTTATGCCCTTTCCACGCTGGGCATCAAAATGGCACCTAGTTTTCGCAGCTCTGCACTCCGCAATTTCGTAGACTCCATTGGAATGGAAATTGATACTTAAACATCATCGGATGAGGGATACGAAACTAACTGTAGTCACCAAGTCCACCGCGCAATGCCCATTGCCGTTCTCTTTCAGAAATCAACGGAATGAAAGAACCTTTTGGGGCATTCTTAATTTCTCTATACACCCCCATAAACTACATGACTCATGACTCAGTGACGTCTTGGCCACCTCGTAACTGCAACAATCTTAGCGGAATTCACTGTGATCTTTCTACTTGACTCCACATAACCTCAATTGTCATCTCAGACATCCAAAACTTTCTCTTGGGTAACTTAGCGTACAATTGATGTGTTTATAACACCATCATAACTTTCTCCCGAGTGTTCCTTGTCAACTAACTCCATCTTGGGGTACAACGACATATTGTCATTGAAGTCGTCTTTGACGATAACAAGAAAATCCCTTAAACGTTCGATTAGTCTAAACCTAAACCTTAGCAACACATTGATCATGTCAAAAGACTTATCAATAATCCTTCCTTCCATTGCTCCTAGTAGTTGTCTTCGCTGTATCTCTCCCCTTGATCCTCATAAGAGGTATCCTAAACTTGTCGAGACCCTTACAATCCTACTACTTCACCAAGAATGGTCTCGTAATTACCTCTTAATTGGCCAACATAGATCTTTTCTCACAACGAGATAACTTGTCATGTAGCTCACCTGAGTACTAATACTCACTCGAGCTAAATGCAAGCTCTTTTGAAGGTAAAGGTTCCTTGCATAATTCCTCTACATTCACCTAGGCCAGCTCTTGTAGTGTCTTATGGTTGATCAAGTCACATTTTCTTTCGTAGTGATATCTCATACGGACTCGTGCATGTGCATCTCTCAAGTTCTTGTAAAGGATCCTATGGAACTCTCTACAAACTCCTGTTTGGTAGCTAGACTTCCTCAAACTCTGAGGATATTTTCTCTATGTCTAGGGTTTTCTCTAAGACACATTATGTCTTCTGCTTCCCTTGCTTGTGTATAATCACCATCTCACTGCTCTTCAGGTAGTTTCCAAAATCACGTTATCTAGCATCTCTACCTCTGTCCGAGCATGCTTCACAAGTATGGCGTTACACTCTTGTGTGAAAATAGTGTTCTACTTTGTCTTATGCTTCACAAGTATGGCATTACAATCCGTTACGATCTAATTTTCTAATACCAATCTGTTACGATCTAATTTTCAAGATTTAGAGAAATTGGACTGCAACGAAAGACAAAATCAAATACAAACAAAACAAAATCAAAATAAAGCAAAACATTTTGAAAATGTGGAAAGTGCAGTAAAATTTCGCATGATTTCAAAAGACATACAATGTCACTGTCAAACCTATTTACAAACGGGAAAAGAGGTATGGGTTACATAAGAATACAAAATCAACTAAAAAAGAATACAACTGACTGACTCCCCAGGTCGACACCCCTCTGTGACAAAGCAGCTCCTAAGCATCTCCCCACCTCGAACGTTACTTGAAAAAAGAAAGGAAAAAGGGATGAGTATAAAAATATACTCAGTAAGCAACCTACTTGTAGCTCTCGTTGCTTCCTTCTCCTAGTAGGTTTCCACGGCTATCCTTTGGTCTAAACGATGTTCCAAGTGGTTCCTCATTATTCATCTACCTGTGTAGTCCCTAGCCCCTCATTGAGACTGGTTTATAGTGTCACGGCTTCGGCCTTGACTGTTTCTACACTCAATAGAAGTTGTTCATGCTAAACCACCTACCCGCATAGTCTTTGATCTATTCCAAGAGCGGTTTACAAAGTTGCATCATTGACCTTGACTCATTTATACTCTCAACAGGGGCTTTCATCTTGACACCTACCCGTGTAGTCCCTAGCCCAACAAGGACTATTCACCTGTTTCTACACTCAATAAGCATTCATGTCTTGAGCTAACTACCTATGTAGTCCCTAGTCCTCAAGAACTGGTTTAACGGGATTAGAGCGTCGACCCTGTTCCGATTCTACACTCGATAGTAGCTCAACTAGTTTCGTGATCCTATAGGCTACTTAAATCATGTTAATACACCGTGGAGGTCTACTAGGTTCTTAGGGGCATTCATGTAGTTTAATTTCCATTTTCTCAATTCCAGGTCGTTCTAGGTTAGCTTCTCAGCTTAGCCAATCCCTGGATGCACATAGGTATAAACCTCAATTCTACATGTAAACTGCACTATGTATAGCGCCCTACTCTTGATTATGATCTTGATGCATGTTCTACTAGAAAAATGTGTCTATCAACAATTTCTAACACTTGAATCATGTCTATTCGTTCACATATGTTATTAAGAAGGTATTCCTACCAAGCCTTAATGCATGAAAACCATAACATAAATCATACAAACAATCAAACAAGTTGAACCGGGAGATAACATCCATCAATCAATAGTCCAGAGCACAAATCAAAATATCTCTTCCTCCATCATACCACAGCAAAAGCCATTAAATTAAGCATGTTTCTCAATTCCCTTGTTTCAAAGACAATTTCGTAATTTTATCATGTACATGTAGTAATTATTCAAATTGTTCATTCCATGTTCTAATCATACATATTCCAGCCACCTAGGGTACAATATGCTTGCATGCTAGATTGTCCTAGCGATCCCTATAAGTATCACTTGCCTCTTCAATACGAAAAAGTTTATATATTTTTTGGTTTCTTATTAGTAGAAAAAAATATAGTAACGCAACATCATCTCAAGCATAAGCATGATCCAAGTTAGATGTTAACAAGCATCTTAGAATTAACACATAAGATTGAGTTTAAAGGATTATTGAGTGTTTTAAAAGACATAGCATAGAGATTGACATATCAACACAAAAAGTGTTAAATTAGACATTGATATATATATACGAATATAACTTGGGATAATTGCTTAACTAAAATTGGTAAATAGAAATAAAAATAAGAAATATGAAGCAAATGGGTAGATACATGCAGATTTGAGTGACTAAATTATGCTTTGATTTGAAGAAAATGGTTTAGAAAAGAAATTTGGTATTGTTCATATAACTTAGAATATCACAGTGATTTTGTAATATGAAGTAAATGAGAGCTACGGAGAAGGTGAGGTGCAAAATCATGTGTATAGCATCGGTAGCCCTAAACGTAGATTTTGAGCCAAACCCATTTTCTGCCTTTTGCGTGTATTGAGTGAGGTAGTTATATTTAGGCCCCATGCTCTCCTTATATATACCTATTTAGTCTCCCACCCTTTCCACTCCAAGCATTCACATGCACTTGCAAATGGCTTCCCATAAACTTTCTTCTCTTGTGTTCTTTCTTTTATTTGTTATAGGAATTTGTTCTGCAGCCAGAAGTTTGACAAGTTCTTATGAAGGATATGGTGTTGAAAATTATGGCGATCGATATGGTAAGGATGGTGCATATGGAGGAAAGTACGGAGGATATGATGGTGGAAACTATGGGGGATACGGCGGAGGTAAACACGATGGATATTATGGAGGAAACTATGGAGGATACGGTGGAAGTAAACACGAGGGATACGATGGAAGAAACTATGGGGGATACGGCGGAGGAAACTATGGGGGATACGGCGGATATAAGCACGAAGAATACGATGGAGGTAAACACGAGGAATATGACAAATATAAACATGACGGATACGATGGAAGAAGCTATGGGGGATATGACGGAGGTAAGCATGAGGAGTACGGCGAACACGGCTATGGCCACAGTGGGTATGCACCATGAGAAACACATTTTCAGTACTACCATATGAACATATAGTAAATAATATCATGAAGGAATAAAAAGGAGCATCCATGTTCAAAATAAAATAAATAATAAAGATGGGGAATGGTTACAATATTGTGATGTTCAAATGTGAGCTCTTCTTGTAGTTTCTCTTGGAATAAATAAATAAGAGCTTTTTTTTAATCTTACTTCGAATGTGTGATCTAGCCGTTACCTATAAGGTTGTAGTAGAATTTCAAATCGATTCACGAATGACCTTAGGCGCTACTTCTAACATATACACACGGTCCACGTACATGCGCATGAACCCACTAGGTTGTTGATGTGCTTTTCTTTTTTCACCGAGTTCACTTTGGTTGAGTCACTTCTTGCTCACTAATAATAGTGTCATTTGGATCTTCAAACACAACAACACTTGATCAAATGTGTGTAGTTTGCTCTCTCATCTTCTGTTGTAGAATGTTTTCAATGTTGTTCGAGTATAGTAAGACTTTCTTTTGCAAGGACTACCACGAACATGCTTCATCAAAAACTAATCTCTTACCGTGTTGCTTTTTTGTCAAATTTGCTACATAGATGACAAACGTGACAAACGTAGCCAAATACTTGGAAATAGCTCATTATAGGTTTCATGTCCCATAATATATCAAATGGTGGGATGAAACCTAATCTTGACTGGGGTGGGGAAGCTTATTGATCATATGGCTAGCAGTTTGCATAGTTTCAGTCCAAAATTTTCTTGGAACATTCTTCACGTGTAGTATGCTTCAACAAATCTCTGCAAAATACTACAGTATTTTCTTGGAACTTATTTAGAGTGAATTAGTTCTAATGGTTTCTTTGCTCTGAAATTTGACTCGGTGTAGTAATTGATGAGCTTTACCATTCTAACATCTAGTGCAAATAATATATGTTTTGACTTCAAGTTGAGGTAAGCATTTAAGCACGGATTTTTCCGTACTCACCTTCAACTTGTGATAGCCAACACGTCCCAACTTTACATGTCATATATCTACTATCTTTCAAGACTTGTCTACATAAGGAGACTCTATAAATAGCATGTAGATGGACTCCACACTTCACCCTCCCATCGTTGGCTTTCCCAATATCTTAACATATTCATAGACTTTTATATTGTTCGGCCCAAACAAGACATAATTGCATGATGTTGTTAGTTGTGACACTAACAACAAGTTCTTTATACCTGGTACATGATGGACATTATGTCGTTATGTTGTCGATCTGAGCAATCAGTAACTATTTTTTGTTGGTTGAGCATCCTAAATCCATGATATTGATTAGTTTTTGTCTCGCAATTTTCTCTGATCACCAGTCATTTGGTTTGAGAATTCTAAGTCAATGTTCTAGTCATTCTCATAATCGATATGATCTCCCACCATCGCCATAATGATTGAGCAGGTCATCCTTGTACAACAAAAAACGAAGTTTCTACATTGTGGCCCAATCCATGGATGATTATCATCTTCATTCAAGCTTCTCATATGACAGATTTTGGATCTACTTCAGTAATCTTCCGACAAATCAACTTGACCCTATGGAAGTACTAAGCAATCGTCATGTTGCATTGTAAAATTGATAACAGCTCGTTCTCCAAAAGTTATAACCTCGTATCGTTTTTCTTTGAGAAAAGTACCACAAACGTGTCTCATGCTCTTTTGATGTCTTGTCATCTCGAATGTGCTCCAACATCTCTTTATTGATTGTGGTCTTCAAGACAAACATTGTCTTGCCTACTTCAATTCTCCACTTGCACAAAGTCCTATTAGCATCCTCCTCTAGAGGCGTATGTTTGCTTCTTTCAACGATCTCCCAAAGGTCATGTTCTTGTAGATAGGACATCATGCATATTGCCCACGTGTTATAGTTATTGTTGTTGAGTTTCTTGGTTCCTCTAACGACTGGAAGATCACACATTGTGTTGGCGGTGCTTAGTAAAATACCAAACAACCTAGTTTTTAACACATAACTTGCAGACTCAGACTACTCATAACACGAAAAAACTAACTCACTAATAATCTCAAGAATTCGTTTCTGATGTAAAAGATTAAGCAAAACTATAACCACAAAACATACTAAGAAATCAAGAGATCGCACTACCTATACCAACCTTGATCTAGCATTATATTGATGAACTCAACTCTTTTGTGAGAAATACTCACCCCTTTATCAAGTCCAATTAAAAAGAGATTACAAGACAATTTGTATGAACTACTAAACTTTACTTAGATTGTTTGGGATACAAAAACTTTATTACGAGAGATGTCTAGAGAAAGTACGGAAGCTTTACAAGTAAGAACAAGTTTATTAATGTTTCGAAAACAATAACAATAATTTGTAATGCACAATTCTTTACTAAGTAAAAAGGTACATAGTTCAACTGGTTTAGGCATATGTCATCGATCAAAGGATTGATAGTACAAATCCACGACTCCAAATATGGTTGAACTAACCAAAAAATAAAAATGAAAAAACACTAAGTGCCGAAAAATATATATATGATTGGTAATTTGCAAAAGGAAAAAAAAAAAAAAAAAACAAAGTTCTTCTGAGAATAATAGTGTAGTAATTTGCAGTCCCCACATGTCCATGGAGTTTGAAATCAAAGAATCCTGTCTTGAATATCAGTAATCAACGTTGATGCCAAGGAGCTCAGCTTCCTCCCTGTCTCCCCCGCCATGTTCTTCAATGAAGATATATCCTGCGAAGCCTGCATCAGATTCAAAAACAGCTCACACACCAACCCTTTTAACGTTCTTCTTAATCGATTCTAGATCGTATACCTGTAAAGAAATCCGGCTGATGAACTCGTTTGCAGCGAGATCCAGAGTCGAATCATCCATGCCCTGCCCGAACAGATCAGCACTCGAGATCGCCGATGAACTCTAGATTCCACAAATAAAAGTCCCATTCAGTTCATTCAACTCAACAATTTAGAACCAAATCAAACACAACAACAACAACAACAACAACGACAACAAAAACTTCGTACTGAAAACTTCTTCAACGAAGCCTTGGCATCGGACTCGGCAGATTTGTTCTGATCGCCAAAGAATTGAGCAGACGAAATGGATTTTGCATTTGAGAACTTCTTCCTCGCTTCTTCAGTTTCCTCCACCTGCAAATTCATACACATCAATGAGCATTCGTTCCTGTTCGGCACAAGTTTGAAGGCATTTTGGTGTGTTTTAACCTGGATTTTGGTGGAATTTGAGCTTGATTTCTTTGAATACCCACCACCATTGTGAGGGTCCATTCCAAATTCAGAAAAGAAGCTGGAGGCTTTTGGTGGAGCAACATGCCCCAACACAGGGGACCCATTAGAGTTCACCTCAGAAGATTGTGAATTCTCAACATAATCGAATCGAGAAACCGAAGACGAGACCGTTGTACCATTCGTCACCGACGACGAAACCGGTGTCGGGGGGTCTTCTGGTTTCTGATCATACAAATTCTCAGTTGGCTGCATTCACAATACAATCATTTAAAAAAAAAAAATCAAACCCAACAACCCCAAAAAACAGAGGGAATTCAATTCATTTCGAGACAGAGTAACCGTAACCTTAGAGGTAAGCTTCCGAGCGCCAAGTCCACCAGTCTTGCCCGTCTTTTTGGCACCGAGGGGTTTTTTTATAACAACAGAATGAGAGGCTTTTGGAGAAGAATGGACGATTTCAGGGGCTTCTTGTTTAGTGGTTTTGATGAAGGAGAGGCCATTGCTATTGCTATTGCCATTGCTATTGCTATTGCCATTGCCATTGCCATTGCCATTGGAGAGAGATGAAACAGTGGACGAGGGGAGGGTGGGTTCTTCAGCCATGGTTTTAGCAATCTCTTTAGAAAGGGTTTGTTTGTACAATTCTGCAGCTCTGGAAGTGTATTTGGCTTCAATTTTGCCACCGTCACTCCAGCCGTGCTGCTTGAAGAACACCTGAGCACGGTTGTTTCCGCCGTAGCTCATCATTTTCAGCTGCTCCGTTGACCATGAGTCCAAATTCGTTGACCTATTTAACAATGTGGTTCATCAATTACTGTGTTTTCTCTCTTAGGTTTAACTCATTGAATTCTTATTAATCAAAAGTCAGACAATGAGTTTGAAAATTTGACTTATGTTTGAATTTCCATATTCGTTCTATTTTGGTTTATATTTTATTTTCATCTTAGAATTCAGTATGATACCATCACCGAGAACAAAAATTACTAGGTCTAACGAACTTTCCGTATCTACTCATACTTTCAACCCACAAATTTGAAAATTCAAGAATCTATTAGAACATAGTTCATAGATCGGATATGAAAATCGTAAAACCAGCCATTTGAGGGTTGACCTAATCCCCAAATTAGGAGGAGGAACAAAAATCAAGATCCATGGAACAATAATGCGGATGAACGAAAACGAAGGTTTAGAAAGATTGAACAATACCTGACGAAGCTGATATGAACGCCAAGGCTCCGATGAACGGCGGAGCAATCAATGCAAAGGAAGATCCCAAACGTAACCGACGCCCAAGTAGGGTTCTTCGCATTACAATCGAAACAGATCTGAACAAAAAAAAAACAAAAACCAACTCAACTCCGATCCGAAAACCCCCAAAATGTCAAGATCAAGTCACTCACCTTGTTCTCAGGCTTGGCCTTCAACCTCCTGAAAACCGCGTTCTTGTCGGTGAAGCTATCAGACGCCATTGAAGCCGGAGAGAACGGAAGAGAGAAACAGAGAAAGAGAGATGGAAACTCGAAATTGAACTGGAATTCTCTCTGGAGGAAGAAGATTAGGGGATTAAGGAGAGGGAGGAGAGAGGAAGAGAGATGAAACGGAAACCACTAATTGAATTTTGGGAATTTGAGATCTTACGGTTCTCTTCCTTTCTGCCATAGACGCAGCTTTTATTAGCATGTTAATGGCGGTACCGTACGTTTCATATATTTTTTTATGACGAAATTGCCCTTTAAGTTCAGGTTGAGGCGGGGGCTGTTTGGGAATTTACAAATGTTTTTCAACGGTAGTTGAGAGAGGTAGTTCATTTGTACCCATCTCCGTCTGCTTATAAATTTCACTTCAATTTGGTAACTTTTTTTTTTTACCCTGAAAACGAAGTTACTTTCTAGTAAGTTACCGTTAGGCGTTAGGTTAAAACTTGAAGTCGATTTACCGTTGACCTTCGAAGTCCGACACGAGACATCCCAATTGTTGGGACTTTTTTTTTTATTATTATTTAATTATTTCAACTGAATTAATAAAAATATTATTTTTATCTTTAAAAAAATTAAATGTAGTATTAGGGCATTTTTGAACTTTTAATTCGACAATATGTTAGGTGAACGGGATTTGAGCTACCAACCTTTTTTTCAAGGATGTAGGCCTGTTGACCTATATTTGGTCTCTCGAGTTCTCAACCCTTTTAAGGTTACATATTTAAACTATTTTATTTATTTATTGTTGGTACTAGAATGACATGGGATTGAAACCTCAAACTTCATAGTACAAATCAATTGCTTTGTTGTAAAAAAAAATTGGGACCTTGAACGGGCGTGCACAGTAAGTTGAAGAAAATGGTGATGCTTGTCCTAATTATCGGCACATTGTTTAGGTCTCAACTTTTTTTTTATAAATCCTATAGATTTCTACTCCCGTGATAGTTTTAATATTATAATTTTGTTTTTTTTTAAGAATGATTATTTTTTTAAATCATTGAAAATTTTTTAAGGATTTTAAATTTTATAATTAATTTTAGGAAAAATTAATAAAAAATACTTTTTGGGCCTGAGTCCAGACAAGTTGGGTTATATTTTTCGTTGGGCTTTTCATAAGGCCCAAAATAAAACACAACTTAGATGGGCATTTTTTTTTATATATAATTTTCTTTTAATAAATAACTCTCTAGAAAATAATTAAAATAAATAAATAACTCACTATTTTGCATTTGACATGACATATTTACAAAAACGGATATTTTTGTATCTGAACATGACAAATAGACTCGTATCAGTCGAATTTTCTACGGTACTAAATTGATAGCTATTACGATGATTTCACACGATATTAAGCATTCCAACAAATAGTCACATAGTCGATGAAGCAACTATATTGATTTTAATCTCAATATTTATCACACGCTAATCCTATTTCCGAGCGTTGAAATTCATTTTCTATCTCCAAGATACATCACCGAACACTTATCCTTCCATTCGTCTAAATCCATAAGGTTTTATCTTGATTTATTTAGTTAAATATATTTTATTTTGGAGATTCTCTTAATACTTTATTCCTCTACAACTTGACATCACATGGAATAAACCATTGTTCTATAAACTTTGTATTTTATCTAAAAAATATTCTTAAATTTTCAAAAAAAAAATATTATTACAGACGGTTGAACTTTCAAAATATTTTAAACTTTAAAAAAATTTATTAATACGGTTCTAAAATATATTTATGAAAATTTAAAAATGTGAATAAAAATTGTGTATTCTCGTAGATTATCTCTAAACTTTTTATATTTGGACCGTAAAATTCAATATAATTTTATTAATTTAACATTTAATTAATAATATAAAGTATGTTGATATGATGATGACTTTTCATGAGATTTAAGAGTTTTTTTAATTTTTAATTTTTAGTATTTAATTTAATTTTCTTTTCTTTTTAGGATGATGACTTCCCATCTTATCTTTATTAACTTTACAGCCAGACAAGATCGTCCATTCCGAGGCATACGAATTTAAATTCTTTTGTCCATATTGATTACGACAAAAATAAATAAATATATATATATATATATAATGTTAAATAAAAAAAAGGATCGTGGGCCGGCCAAAAGCCCTAATGTACGGCCCATAATGGCCCTAAAAGCCAGCCATCCACGTGGCAATATTCTTTTTGATTTAGTTGTTTTACGTTATTTTCAAATATTGGACCTCACACAAATATTAATTCAAATATTTGGAGATGTCGAGCACATATGTTGAAGTATATTGATTTGAACGTTATTCTAAAGAGATCAAAGGTGGTTACTTCTACGAGTATTCGTTCAAATGAAGTAAATTTCAATGAAGCTACTAATACGGCAACAAGAATTATTGGTTATTTCATTACATCTGATATGCAGATACATTGATATGCAAGAATTATGAACGTCTCGTCATAGTAAGAGAGTTATGAAATTGTTGGGAATGAATCGACTTTGAATTTATTTAGAATTAAATAAAACTAAGGGTTGAGAAAATTTACGTTGAAGAAATACGGAGAAAGTTTCGGTGGGTACTCTTAAATCTACTTGTTTCAGCTCCTCTAACAGTTGAATCCCCTCCGTAAAGTCTTTCTCACTATGACTCGAACACATGGTTAAGACTTTCTCACTAACGATTGAATCTCCTCTATAAATATTATCAAAATGAAACCACATTCGCTGTAGTCACATCCCTTTACTCGGGTTATACATTATCAAAATTGTGATTATACGCACTTCCTCACTCACGTTTTCTAAAAATATTTCTCTCAAACGTGACTCGAAACTCGAGCATACACCACTGTTGCTTGCAAAGTCAAATCTTACATGGTTGACTTGATGGCTAGGTTAGAACAAGTGTCGCACAATAGCTATCTCATAGCCACAAGAGTGCAATTATGACCAATAAAAGACATCATGAATCTTGTTTACCATATTGGAGAAAACCATGAAATTTAACCTTAACTAGGTAGGCAAGTGTTTTGGTTTTTGTCTCATGCTATCCAAACAAAACCACTATTTATTATTATTATTATTATTATTTGGGATATTAAATTATTTTTAACGCATGTGGCATTAAAGAACATAAAAAAATATATATATAAAAATCTAAATAAAAAAGATAAGGCAAATAATTGAGTGCAATGATGGTTGAAAATGAAAATTGAGGCCAAGGAAGAGGCCCATCAACTATGGCCCTCATAATTTGTATTTTTTATTTTATTTATTTATTTATTTTTGCTTGAATCCAAAGCTTGCACTAACCCCTTTCATTAATTATTGTTAAGTTACTATTTTAGTCCTCGAGCGTATAATTGCCCTTGCTCGAACAGGTTTCAAATTATCGACTCTATTACTAATAATTTTCTTATGTTACGTACGTTTCGATGAGTTTTAGTGATATAAACGTGTTTTGTTTGATAGAATAGCTTTAAGATGTAATAATAGTTCCTTTTAATAAAAATAATGTATATTGTTGGTGAGAAGATCTGACCTGTCGGGTATGTATGATGTTGGCATGGATGAGTCAAATCATCTCTTGAGTACCTGCACGTCGTATCTACTCGCTGAGTATATTTCACATTCTTTGACGACGTTCCTTTCCTTCTCTAGATTTGCGAGCTTGATGGGTCGTTTGGTCCTCATCCTTGGCCTGGGAGCCTTTAAACGGTTATCCTCATGATGAGTTAGCGTGATATCTCGAGTTGTCTGGTATGACCACATGTTAATTAATGAAATCGTTGTCGTGCCTCTCGAGAAGTGGTGATTTGCCTCTACACTTGAGGAGCGTAGATGAAAGATGATCCAACGACCTAATAACTAGGCTCCTACTTTTTTTTTTGCTTGAAGTTATAACTCACCATCGACGAGTAGTAGGTTTGTTTATCCTCTTTTGTTCTCTCTTTTCATGTCGAAACCTAGATGGAAGATCTCCACCCTTGATTCCTAATACGAGTTGAGCTGGTGTGGTCTGCCTATCCAAGCTTTTTTCAAGTGAGTTAGACCACACTCATATACGTAACATGTCTCTTCTGTCATCTGTCCTCGATTTTCGAGATGAGGGAGGCAATCTAGAATCTACAAGTAGGACAAGTCAGCACATATAAAACATATTTCAGGCTAGTGTCTAACTCCCACTACTACATGGTCTAAGGTTCTTTCGAGTCAGCTCAGATTGGCTCGATGACTCGATACTAACCTACGGATAATAAGTCAATGTGGTTGACTCTTCACTACGCAAAGGGCCACAAACTCAACACAAGGTGAGCGACTTGGTTGGCTAGCGAGGCACCATGACAAGCCGTTTATGGTTCTTTGTGAAGTATAGTTAAAAATGGAATAATATCTACGCTAAGGTAGCAACTGTATACAATCAAGCAACAAGGGATAAGTATATATATAGTTTCCACATGGAATAAGACGAGTTTTTCATCTATTTAGCCGATGAAGATGTACCTTTTACTTTTGTCATCTAACTTTGTTCTTCTTTGATCCAATACATGCATATAGGCTACACTTCGGAACACTTTTAAATGAGACACTGTAGGCTTTTGTTTGCTCCGTGTTTCTTGCGGTGTCTGGTCTCCCAATTCCACATGAAGACACCGATTCTACACATAAATCGTACTGAATACCGCCCGATACTCCTTTGATTTAATTTTACATGGAAATTTTTAATATTTTATTAAAAAAAATCTTGGAATATAATATATATATATATACATACATATATATATATATATATATATATATATATATATATCCTTTAATTTTAAATTTTTTCTGAATATTATTAAAAAATTTAAAAATTTAAAAATATTTTTTTGGACGATATTTTATTTATTAATTTAACCTAAAATAATAATAATAATAAGAGAAGAAGGCAAGGGATGACGTGGATTAGAGAGACCCTATCAGCATGAAAAACGTGTAATTGCAACTCCAAAATAATAAATAAATATTTATTTTCAAAATAATAATAATAATAATAATTCTTTTTTCTTTTTTTAATTTTTTAAGAAAAA